TAATATATAAAAAGAAAGAATATCACAAAAAGGCAGTTTCATGTTTTCAATATCACAAAAAGGCAGTTTGTGCTACCAAGGTAGTTTATTATAACTTTTCCCACTTTGTTCCTTAATTATTAACTATCCAGTTAGCTTCCCCGTAACTAGACATGTGGTTTAGAGAGAATTAATCTCAGTCCTTCATCTCTTTTCCATCCAACGTTCTAGATTTATTCTCTCTTGTAGATTAGACATATATATGTCTCTTTTTAAAATCATTAAATTATATACACAGAATTTTTCAACGGTGGAGATTTTCTTGTTTGATAAAATCTTCTTCCCAGCTCCCTTTCCAATTTTGTTACGGCTCTTCTGTTATTCTCCACCATACTTCGATTTACTACATATAATTGTACACATGTAAATTTGGAAACAAATTAATGGATGAAAGATTAGGTTAATTGGGAGTTTGTAATCGTCATGCTCGAATCCAAGCGGGTTGATGCTGGACAAAGAAGACCTATGGGGTTTTGGTTATAATCTGTCAAAACTTAAAAAATCTAAGAAATTTTGTTTTTCGTTTGGTTGATGCTGGACAAAGAAGACCTATGGGATTTTGGTTATAATCTGTCAAAACTTAAAAAATCTGAGAAAATTTGTTTTCCGTTTGGTTTTTGGATCTAATTGATTAATGACTACAATATTTTTAAGTTCCTGAGATAAAAAAAAAATGAAGATTGCATGAAGAAAAATCAATGGCAGCTCTGAGGTTGAGTTGCAGAAACGCAGAGTAACCTAATAGGAAGAAGATGACTTAATTACAAAACTGCCACTCGTTTTAAGAAAATGTGTACAATTATATGTGTACATGTGTACATCTTCACATATGTACACTTTATTATCAAAACAATGTACACTCGTCATATGTGTACACTATTTATTATTAAAGCAAAAACCAAAATTTATATGTGTACAATTATATGTCTGCATGTGTACATCATCACATATGTACACTCTTTATTATTAAAATAATGTATCATAACCATGTATACATGTGTACGTCTTCACAAGTTTATGTATTTCGTAAATATATACATTGATGTGTCCGCCTGTATCATTAGTTGTACACGAAACTGCGATGCAGACAGAAAAAAATGTACACAATCATTTCTGGCAATGTTACATGCAATTTTAATGATGTTTTAACGATGTCCACATGTACACCGTTGTAACGATATTCCGCATGGTACATTATTTTAATAATAAAGAGTGTACATATGAATATCGTTACACGGTGTACATGTGGACATCGTTAAAACATCGTTAAAATTGCATGTAACATTGCCAGAAATGATTGAGTACATTTTTTTCTGTCCGCATCGCAGTTTCGTGTACAACTAATGATGGAGACTGAAGTTTTGGAAGTGGAAATAGGAGTAGGCGAACACATCAATGTATATATTTACGAAGTACATAAACTTGTGAATACGTACACATGTATACATGGTTATGGTACATTATTTTAATAATAAAGAGTGTACATATGTGATGATGTACACATGCAGACATAGAATTATACACATGTAAATTTTGGTTTTTGCTTTAATAATAAATAGTGTACACATATGACGAGTGTACATTGTTTTAATAATAAAGTGTACATATGTGAAGATGTACACATGTACACATATAATTGTACACATTTTCTTAAAACGAGTGGCAATTTTGTAATTAAGTCATCTTCTTCCTATTAAGGTATCATGTGTTTCTGCAACTCAATCTCAGAGCCGCCATTGATTTTTTTTCATGCAGTCTTCATTTTTTTATCTCAGGAACTTAAAAATATTGTAATCATTAATCAATAAATCAAAAAACAAAACGAAAAAAAACATTTCTCAGATTTTTTAAGTTTTGATAGATTATAACAAAAACCCCATAGGTCTTCTTTGTCCAGCATCAACCCGCTTGGATTCGAGCATGACGATTACGACGCAAGGGTTGCGTCTATCTGAACCTGTATCGACGAAGAGGAGAGTTCATTCCAATAGTAGGGATAGGTTATAGAATAAAAATGGAGGAAGAAGCTTGGCTGCGGTGCTTGCAGCTCCATAAAGATGATACATGGTGATGAATCACGAGAAAAATAAATTCTTCAGAGAAGAAAAAGTCAGATCTGTTTTTTTTTATTTTTTATTTTTTATTTGCTAACTTAAACCAAAAGAAACTAAACAATTAGACTCTAGTTTTCATTTGGTTAGAAAAACTACCTCTATAGCAATAACTGTCTTTTTATGATATAAAAACTCAACAACTGCCTTTTTATGAAATAAACTCATATAAAAAGTTGCTTATATCACGGCAAATAAAATTAAAATAATTTTAAGAGGATATAATGAGTATATTTCATCAATATATGAATAAAATGATTATATAGGGAAATATAGAATCTATGAATTATTGTTTTTCTTTTCATGTCCGAAAACTGCAGAGTTATAAATATTAAAAAAATAGAGAAAAGATTCCATTTAGCATAAAAAATATAATTTTATCATGCTTTTTCTTTTCCGCTGCCCATTTAAATTTAGATCAAGTGTTGTCCAGACGATTCGGTACTCCGAGGAGCATCTTCATCTACACGTGTCTGATCTATATGGGAGAAAATATAGCCTTTAGTTCTTGTTTCTTTCGCCAATGCGTCTGCTTGACCATTCATACTTCTAGGAATATGAATCAGGATCACATCCTCAAAGTCTTCCTGAAGTCTCTAGAATAACTCTATCTCCGATGTCCAAGCTGACCAATCCATCGGGTTCGTAGTCATGTCCAGAAGATCCAAGCAGTCTGTCGCAAATCGTACCGAAGTTATCCGCATGTTTCTTAAACAGGAAGTAGCCCAAAGTAAACCTTCCATCTCAGCATGTAAGGCTGAGAGGATCTTGTTGCATGCTCGTAGTCCAAAAAATTCAGAACCCATTTCATCTTTAGGACTCCACCCTAAACCACTTACCTTACCATTCTCGATCCATGAAGCATAAGTTTGGCAAGTAGGGATTATATCATGCTTATTTATTATGAAATCATAAATTATTGTATTTTGTTAAGAGAAATTTTGGAAAAGACAATTATTTTGAGGTTTCAATTTGAAAACTAGACCATTATATAATTTTTTTTTTAAAACTACAAGCCTATAAATGTAAAATGACAAAATTTATCAATCTGAATTATAAATTATTTGGATATTTTGAAAATTTATAATCTTTCTTCCCTATTACACTGTAGATTTTTAAGTTTTAGAGATAATATTTTAAGAAAAAGTTTAAGGGAATATAATGCCTACATTTCATGAACATATGAATAAAATATTACAAATGAAATATATTTTTATTCTTACCAACACTGCAAAACTATATTGATATGCGAAACTAAGTCACATTGTTCTGGATACCTATATGGGTCCAGGCTCTTTTGTATACTCGAAGAAATGATCTATCTATAAATTTTACTTCTCTTTAGAGATTAGTTTGTCTTCTCCATAGGCTCGGATATCCCTAGATTAATAAAAAAAAAACAATGCAAAACTATAAATATATCCTAGAAATTAAGAAAATATGACACATTTAACATATAATCCTAGGTTGCATGGAAACTCCGTTCAAGGTCTGTTTCCTGTTTCGAAAACGTTTCGGAATCGGAATCTCTTGAAAACTCGAGAAAACTTTTTGGAAACATGTTTCTTGAAAATTTAATTTTGGAAACACGATGGAAACTTGTGTTTCTGATTTGGAAACTCGCGATTCTAATTAGAAACACAAAAATAACTATTTGATGTTAATGATTACATGTTTATTATTTTATATTTTAATATTATGATTTGATATATTTGTTATCATTTTAGTATAATGATTTGATTTGGAATGAAGTCGCTCCATAGTTTTATCGAATGATAACATGTGTTACTTTTTTAGTTATTGATTATAATTTTAATAAAATGTACAAAAAATACTTATATTACTTAATTTTTTCTCTTAGATAAATTAAACAAAAAAAGTTTACATGTTGATTAATCATACATATATATATATATATATATATATATATATATATATATATATATATTATAGACGTTTCTAAAACGTTTCCATTTTTATTTTTTGGAAATCATGTTTCCACATTTCGAAACGTTTCGTTTCCACGTATCCGTTTCCGAGTCCATGCAACCTAGATATAATCGTTGAAATATAATCTATCATCTTTATCTAGTTATCAAATACTTCTTCCATTTTATTTTATTTTAAGTATCGTTGTAGAAATCACAAAAAAAAAATATCGTTTTAAGATTTCAAGGTGATTTAGCTCTTTAACTTATTTATTTTACCCCTACATTTATCAAAAAAAATGAAAAAATGTAATTTTAATAGTTAAAAAGGATAAAACTGAATATTTATCCTTTTCTCAGTTGATATGAAAAAACTTAGAATGACATTTAATTGGAAATGGAGTATGTTGCTCAAAAAAATTGAATTGGAGTGATTATTAAATTAAGGGTTTAGTTGTATTTCATTAATGGAGGATTTGCCACGAGATTGGCTCTGTTCATACTCCTGGCAACGCTCCTTGAATTAATAATTAGTTAAGAAGCTATGAGTTGGCTTGTCTTTTAGTTTCATTATTGACGCATTATCCATGTGTATTGGGTGTAGTGAAATTATATTCCGAGCAACTATTTTCGGTTCTTCACGTCTAGTAACGTGTATTCATTCATTATTTAATGTCTTGTGTATCGCGAGATATAAAATATATGAAGAATTTCGTCGATGTGAACTTCCCATGTTTCTATAAATAACCATGTAATTTCCTATTATAGATCACAGCACCAATTTAATAACACTATTCTGAGGTAAGGTCTCTCAATCTCTCTCCCTCTATCCCACTTTATTGTTTTGGTAGTATATTATTTAGTTATATTCGTAATTACAGGCTGTAATATTCGTAAGATAGATCAAGCGCAAGCAAAAGAGATGGCCCTAAAGTTGGAAGCAAAGGGTGGTAAGAAAGGAAATGTATGGGATGATGGTGTTCACGAAAATGTTAGAAAAGTATATGTAGGGCAAGGCCAGAGTTGTATATCCTTCGTCAAGTTTGAGTATGTTGATGATTCTGAAGTGATTATTGGAGATGAACATGGAGAACACACACAAAAAGTTGAGGAGGTACTAATAACATATACTATATTAGGTTGAAAATATCAAATTTTTGTTCAATATTGATTTTGTACTGAGAATTGTTTTTTTCTTATATGTAGTTTGAGGTTGATGAAAATGACTACATCGTTTACGTAGAAGCTTTCCGTGAGACAGCAACTCAAGAAACCATCGTGGCTCTTAAGTTCGAGACTTCCAAAGGCAAAACCAATAAGCACTTCAAGGAGGGTCCGGGGGTGAAGTTCGTTCTCCAAGGTGGCAAAATCGTTGGGTTTCACGGGCGTTCGACCAATGTTCTACACTCCCTTGGAGCCTATATTTCTGACCCAATATCCACTCATCAATTGCATGGAAAGTGGACAAAGGTAGAAATCTTTTGGATCGAAATTAAAAAAAATGATTTTCCTTTTTTACATAGACTATGTGACGAGAATCTTGACTAAATTTGAAAATCAACGTAATAGTGGTCATATTATAAAACTTTAGTAAACTTGAATTAATTAAAAGAACGTGTACACCTTGATATAATCAGATTCGTAAATCTCTTTAAAAACTGATAACAAATATGGCAATTTTTATAAGGTGGAGCAAAAAGGAAAGGTCCCAGGGCTAAGATGCTCACATGCCATAGCACAAGTAGGAAACAAGATTTACTCCTTTGGTGGCGAATTTACACCAAATGTGCCTATTGACAAAGACCTTTACGTCTTTGACCTCAAGAGTGGGAAATGGTCCATTGCTCCAGCCAAGGGAGACATTCCACACCTCGCTTGCTTAGGCGTCCGAATGGTGTCAGTTGGAACAACCCTCTATGTCTTTGGTGGCCGAGACGCGGCCCGCAAATACAACGGTTTCTACTCTTATGACACGACCAAAAACGTGTGGAAACTGCTAACTCCGGTTGAAGAAGGACCCACTCCTCGTAGCTTCCACTCTATGGCTGCCGATGAGAAAAACATTTATGTTTTCGGTGGAGTGAGTGCTACGAGCCGGATCAAGACCCTGGACGCTTACAACATCGCTGATCAGAAGTGGAAGCATTGTGCGACCCCAGGAGAATCCTTTAGCATAAGAGGAGGATCCGGGCTCGAAGTGGTGAATGGGAAGGTTTGGGTGGTTTATGGTTTCAACAACTATGAAATTGATGATGTTTATTACTATGATCCTGTTGAGGACAAGTGGACAGAAGTGGAAACATTCGGTGAGAAGCCTTCCGGGAGGAGCGTTTTCGCTAGTGCAGTTGTTGGGAAACACANCGGAAACCCTTTTGGAAGCCACAAGAAGAAAAAGGAAGAAGCGAAGCAGGAGATGACTCCAGCTATCAGGGGATGGACAGCTTCCACGAGTGGGACAGTTAATGGTAAGAAAGGGCTGCTGATGCATGGTGGCAAAGCTGTGACCAATGACCGCTTTGATGATCTCTTCTTTTACGAGTTTAACTCTGCTTAATCATTAACGTTTGTGATTGTTTGTTATGTGTGTGTGGATTCAGTAAGGGAGAGTCGTGATAACATACGATCCTTCATCAGCTTTTTTTTTTTTTTTTTCTATATGTTTGCGTTATGTATGATTCAATAAGGGAGGGTCGTGATACCACACGATCCTTCCTCACCTTTCTGTATTGTTGTTATGTTTCGTTTTAAAATATAATTAATTTATATATAAAATATAATTAATTTATATATAAAATATAATTAATTTATTTGTTTATGTAGCTATTAATATAATTTAATAATAATTAATTAAATTATAACTATAATTTTATATATGAGTAATATGTTATAACCAAAATAATTTAATATTTTTAAAAAACTTTAAATTTTTAAATATAATTATATAATGAAAATTCATTATTTTTAATAAAAGTATATATTATTAATATATATTATTTTACTAAGTATTATGAAAATTTTAAAATCGTATACTGCTAATGCTCTACCAATCACTTTATTAAAAACTTTAATGAAAGCATATAGCTTCTGTAGCATTCTACTTCTGCAGCATACTGCTACTGCTTTATCATCTGCTATACCAATCAAGGCCTTAACTATATTGTAAATTGTTCAACCAATAAAATTTTACTTGTTTTAGTAATTGGTTGAATGATTTTAAAATTATCTTTAAAAATACTTTTGTAAAATAATATAAGCTTCTTTTTTTTAGTGATCCAAAAACATCATATATTAAGAAACAGAGGGAGTAAAATTTATGAATAACTAATTATAATTTGTAGTCTATATACTATCCAGTTTTATAATAATATTTACGTGGCTTATAATATTATTAATATAAATTTTATAATAATATTTGTAACAATAGACATTATTATGTAACATTACTAATTTATATATTTTCTTTTATTTCTAAATTTAAAATATATGTAAAAGGTAAATTAAGTTGGAACTACATAATACATAAACAAAATTTTGAGATATTGTTAAAAGTAGTTCACATAATTTTAATTTTTTTTATATAAAAAACAAATTAAAATTTTTAATTATATTTTATGATAACTAAAAATTTTAATCAAATAATTTTTGAAACTATATCTTGAAAAGATTCTAAAAGATTTTTAAAAGATTTGTTAGAATTTTCTTAAAACTATTTATTTGTATTTCAAATAAAAATTAAAGATATGAAAAGATATTATAATGATGTAATGTAAAATTTTATAAAATTTCTAAGATAAACTAAAAAATCACACATGAATTGAGTCATGACTTCTCTTTTAATATAATAGATTGCTTGTTTTCTAGATATGAAGCACCAAATTAAGAATGCACTAGGTAGAGACCCGTGCTCTTGCACGGGATGAAAGTATCCTGCATGAAAATATCATAAAAATACTTCACTTTACTTTGTAATTTTCGTTCACAGTATGTATCTTACAGTTATAGAAAACATGTATCATATATAATATTCAAACTATATGCGTATAGTATGACAAAAGAAACATGTAGCATATAATACATATCATAGAGAATGTTGGAAACATAAACTTGGATTATGCATTATATTTATGTAGCAACTTTTTGGATCTGTGTTTCTTATGATACCGGACATGGCATTTTATAAATATATGTTTCTTATAACTTACTTGAAAATATGTAAACAAATAATATAAAACACCATAACACATAAACTCTAAAATCAAACTGCTAGTTTTTTTGGATTAGGAAAACGAAAATGTTTCTTCTCAATTCATTATACAAACCAAGTTTTGATATTACATGTGTTAGCCAAACTACACAAAAAATGAAACCTTACACTTGATTCCGAAGTTTTAAGGATATCTTTTGAGTGTCCTTTCCACACATAAACATGTTCAAATGACTAACCTCAACGATCTGACGTATCACGTTTACAACAAAAATAACAGCAACAGATTTGTAAATGTTAGGCATCAACAATGTCACAATAAACTAATGTCAGGAGATAATGGCCCTGGAATAATACACTTCGGTTAAACAAAGCAAGAAACACATATCAGTGCAGTCGCAGGGTGTTTGAATTTGGAAAACACATATTGAAAATATTATGCGGTAGCCATCGCTTTTTGGGTGATCTTAGTTTTTAGATTGGTTTATGGTATTTGGGGTCCTTACTGGCCGAGAACAGAATATATATATATATAGTTCTCGTAATCTTTAATGCTCAAGGTTTGCATTACTGCCAAGCAGTAGATACGGACGTTAATTATTATATTACGGAGTTAATTTCGGACTAAATGATTCATAATTAGCAATAACAATATAGGAAACATTCACTTATGGCTGTTATTGTAATAACAATATAGGAAACATTCACTTATGCAATAAGATTGCTTCATTATGATTATTTTTTTAATTTGCATCAAAAATCCACGAGCTTAGGAACCAAGTTTTGTCTTTAATATTGAAATTTTGAATGATTTTAATATAGAGCAAATTAAATACATGATTGAAGTTGCCGTTGACCTTCAACTACTCAATTGTTTTCATTAATACATAATTTCTTTTTGTGAAACTCCCATAGATCATGTATCTATCTGTCATACATATAAGTTCATGGAATTTATTAAAAATTTAAAAACAATAAAAAATCTGGTCAAATTGGTTTTACTGTAAACCATGCAATACAACTCTCAGCAGTATACTAACGATCTTATTAATGTTATTGATCAAAACAAATCACATCAATAATTAATTATTTAACTACAAAAATCTAAATAGCTGAAACAGATGATGATCCAGTAAAGCTTGCTGTTAATCTATAATCCATGAAATTACCCAAAGTTTCACCATTGTAATGCATCAGTTAATTAAATCTTGAAAACCAAATATAAATGGCTGAAACAGTCTGCCATGAAATTGTTATCATATATACAGTGGTGGAGCTCTGACACATTAAATCTTGAAAACCAAATATAATGGCTGTAACAGTCAGGAATTTGTTTTGCAAAACGTTCAGTGAAGCTTTCTTACATGTTCTCTATTATTTAACAGCATTATCATGCAAAATGGCTTTAAGCATAACAATCAATCAAAATTGTCATTTTATAGGTACAAATGTAATATGGGATGGAGGGAAGCACCGTTGTGTTGGTATGGTAAAATAATGTGAAAACCGATATGGTATGCTCTAATAAATTGTCGGTTATTAATAGTAAACATAGAATACTCGTTATATTAAAGTAATCAAGTCGGACGAAATTATTAACACCAGTGGCATTAGTTGTAAATTTTCTAGTAATGAAAGGGTATTCAAATAGCTTAGCTGAGAATGAATGTGAGTTTGACACCTAAGCAAAATGGCAGTAATGTAAATAAAGTACAAAATAAAGGTTTTTCTTTTCCAATGCTTCTCAATTAATAAGTAAGGGATGTCGTATCTTAACCTTTTAATTCAATGATCAACGATGGATATGTTCGACACTTTAGAAAGCGCGTATACACTAATGATTTTTTTTTTTAATTTCTAAGACACTTTTTGTCTATCAAATTAGGACACTTGTTACTGGTACCACACTTATACCTTATGCAATGTCTTACACACCCTCAAAGTAACTATTCTCTCCTAACTCTAATTCCTCTCACTATTCCAACTATAATTGTTTTATATTTTTTCTTTTAAAAATATACTAATAAAGCAAACATTTTTGGAATTTTCTAAACACACCCTTTATTTGATATTTCATATTTTTAATGAGTTTTAGATTCACATTTTAGCTTATTATGGTCATGAGGTTGCATATTAGGTGTATATATTGCATTAGATTGTTCATTTGCATATAACAGGGTCTAGATTGCACATTTGGAAGTTTTGGGCGACATTGGAAGGTTATTTCTGCAATTTACAAAGGTTCAGGGGCCGTTTTATAAAGA